TCTTCTGTATGGAAAAGCTATTGCAGGTGATTTTTAAATTCTTCTCATGTTAACTAGTTATTTCCCTCTTGTAAAAGGAGAGCCACACAAGCAAATCTCTGGTACTAATGTACCAGCTCAAGTATTTGCAGAAAGAGGGATGTGAAAAATAGTGCCAGTAACATATTTAAAGGAATATTTTCTGAATGTAACAAAACCATCTTCCTATCAGTCACGAAGTATTTAGAGAGAACATGTGACATTCTGGCATAAAAGCTTTTCTGGCATTTATTTGAGATGACCTGCTCAGATTACTTGTGGTTGCACTATGCATATGGGAGTCACGTTATTCATCTGTAACTTTGACATGTACCCAATATCTTCACCTGAACATTGGGATTTGTGTGGTTAAGTATCTAGATATCTAAGCTGATTTCAGCTGTTTCCCATTTCTGCCAGTACTGCTCCCTGTAATGGTGTTGGTGCCATTTCCTGATTCTACTTCTTTGAAAAAAGCCCAGGTGAAGAACTGGGCCCAGTGTGTCTTCCCCTGCAAAGAGGGTAAAACTGAAATGAATTCCTACTGAAATTAATTCCAGGGCTCCCATTGTTTTAAATGGTGGTGGGATTTCGTCAGATATATTTCTTTGCAGGTGTGTCAACATGGAATTTTAATCAGACTTTTAATGAGTTCCCCTTCTGCTCTCTTCTACCCTTCACCTCAGGGTAATATATGGCATGAAACAGACAAAGAACTTTTCAGGCTGTAATTATAATAATTAAAAAATGTTTAGTAATTTCTTTCAAAGGCATAAACAGCGTGATGAAGTCCAATAGACACACAATGCTATTTGTTGGAACATGCATTACCTATTGTAAAAAAGTACATAGGGCTTGTCCAAATACATCCTTGCTGTCATTTTATGCAGGAAGTGAAATCAAGCCAGGGCCAAACCTAATGTAATGATGCTGAACGACACAAACCCCAGCATACCAGTGAAGTAGCCACTGGATTTTCTTTCACATATCTATTTCTAAATGCTTAAATTGAGAAACCTATTGATAACTATTCAAAGAAACCCCCCACAGTTCCCACAGACATTAATTACTATCATGGGTGCTTCTGCTATCAGGTAACCAATCTCAAGTTGCAAACCCAAGGAAAAGGCACCCCTTTTAATATCTGTTTGCATTTTTAACAGTGTAAATGTCATATTTATCTACCTCAGCAGCAAAGGGATGACCCTCGTAATACCTTTTGGCTTGGTATGGAAAAATATAGCTGAGATAATAAGGTAATATCTCAAAGTGAATAGGAAATATGGTCTTGTTAAAGAAAAGAAGAACCTCAGAATGGACTTTAGACTTCAAGTCTTTTCTGTAGAGGTTGTTTGTTATCAAAATAATCTGATAAATCATTAGCAACAATTAAGATAATAAAGCATGACAGAAAATAGTTTCTAAGAACCATGCATTTCAGCAAGCAGTTGCTTTATATATCCAAAGCTACTCAAACTACTCAAGCAGTTCTAACGATAGAACATACGTATTTTATTTATGGACCGCTCTTTCTTCCTTAAATATGTCCTTAATGATGTGGATTTTGATCTTGCTTCTTCTGCCTCCCCTCCAAAAAGATAAAACTGTCATGAAACTGATGGAACAGAGCAGTAGTCTTGACTGTGTCCATTTCATCTTCACTAACCCTTTCCTCTATTTCACCTCCTTTTTTTCTACAGTCCCAGTTTCTTTACCAGCTCTATCGCCTTCCTTTTCTTCATTGCCATTAATATTTCCTATGTTTATTTTCACAGTTCCCAGAAAATCCCCCATTCACATTGCTACCTCCTTCTCACCTGCCAAAGTACTCCCTTTTTTGCCACCTTCTTTCTTTCTGTGCTTTAGAGAAGCTGCCTCTGAATACATTTTGCAATTCCCTTTCTGTAGAATGGACATTTTGGAATAAAGTAAAAGAAAAATACTGAAGTCTTTATTGTATAAAATGACAAGTAAAGCCGAATGTAAGTTAAGCAGAAGCAGCATCAAGGATTTCAAGCAGAAGCTGCAATATTATTCCACCCTATGGGATAATTTTTCTCTTTAGTTATAAGAGGAAATTTTACTATTACCTGCTTTTTCACTAAGAAAGATGATTATTTTTGTACTTCCAAGCAATCATATTCAATTCTAATATACCAACAAGGTAGAAATGGAATTGAAACAAACCTCCAGATTTTAATTCAGTGATTACTAAAAATCTTAATTAATCTGAAATGTCATTTTGCAGAAAGCATAACTTTCAATATACCCTGAATTTCAGAAAAGAAATGATCTTGAAAGTAAGACAGATATGAACTAAACTGAAAAATTTGAAGTTTTAAAGTTTTGAAATCAAGTCTTCTTTTTCAGACTCATATGTACTAGTGAATATTTCTGTTAATTTTTAAAAGATGAAAATTTTTCAGGAATTTTTTATATCTTGGCTTTTGGGTAACCAGCTTGAACGTACTTGAGTCCTCATTTTCCTGGGCCAGAAGCCAGAAAACCAGATCTCTTTAAAGCATTTCAAATTAGAAATTACTTTTTAAATTTTTATTTTATTTAGGTAACTCTCCTCTCTCTGCCTATGATTTCTGAAGCCTAAGATTTTGTTAGATTTAAGCTGAACCATTTATGAAGGATTCATGGTCCAAAAGCATAAGCTTTGTTTTCACAAGGGTTTGTGACCTTGAGCAGAGTGTCAGGCTCACCCAAAACTCACCGAATGCTGGCAAAACTTGCTTTCTTTATGGTGAAACGTTCCTGTGGAACAGATTTTTGAAACATGAAGTAGTCGGTATGCTGTATGTTTGTAGTTAAATTCAGGGTAAGGGAATTAAATACGATTCTAGTAGTGACACAGAAGACAGGACAATGTCCAAGGTAATCAGTCCAGAGCCCTGTACCTAAGACAGGGAAAGGCGTGGGTAGAGCTGCCTTGACTGAAACAGGTTTTTAACTAAATGATATCAACACAGAACATTGCAGAGGGCCACTGTTAAACATATTTACTTGATTGCTGATAAGCTTCTTGAAGTCAGTGCATTTGGAGTTTGACTCTATTTTTTTTTCCTCTAATTGAGATGATCCCTGCTATAAAGAAACTATGCTAGTCTATTTACTTCCAGTTTCCCCAGGGAACTCACTGTGTCAGCAGCTTCACAGCTGACCTGCCCATGA